ATATATGTATATATACGTTATAAATATATTATATATATATATATACATATACATATATATATATAAAGATATATATATATATATATACACACACACACACATATATATATATACTATATATATATATAGGTATATATATATTATATATATATATATATATGTGTGTGTGTGAGTGTGATTTGTTGACATGTGCATACATACATTTGTTCGTGCACATATGCACGTGTTTCTATGGATTGTGCATACACCATCTGCAAGCGAAAAATACGATCACACTCACTCTTCTGCTGGACATTGCTCGACTCGTCGTTTTCACTGTCGTGCACCTGAATTGTATTTTTCGGGGCCCGAACTGTCCTCCGCCCTCTCTGAGAAGCAATCGTGTCTTGTATTTCGACCACTTCCGCAGCCTCCTCTACGACTTTTGCCGTTTTGTCCCCAACGGTCCCAACATCGGACTTGGATGCATCGCTCACATTTTGATCAGGTTTGGCTGCAATGATCGCTGCTTCACATGCGACCACTGTCGTATTGGTCTTGTCAGCGACTACAGGGACATCGGTACCTTCATTGGCAGTTAGGATATCCGTCTCCCCTTCCAGTGCCATTCCTGTCTCATTTTCAGGTGCAGCGGTCCTATCCTCGCTCTCAGGTGCAGCGGTCCTATCCTCACTCTCAGGTGCAGCGGTCCCTTTCCCCGGTTTAGCTTTAGATACGAATCGCTCATGTGATCTCGATCTCGATGACCTGGGTGAGTGTTGAGCTTCAACTTGGCCACTAACGCCATCTCCATTGGTGCTTTCCGTCTTCACAACTACTGCTGTGTCAGCCTTTGTCGTTGCATCTCTCTCGCCTTGAGACACCGTAGCTTCCCCGAGATTTAAGTTCTCGGTATCCACAGTAGCAGGAGGCACGCTTCCGTTCTCGTCTGCATTTCCTTCCGCATCCAATCCCTTCCTACTATTTTTACGTGGTTGTTTGCGCCTACCACGGACACCTTTCCTACTCACCTCTGGCACGGTTTCTCTCGCGGCACCATCCTCCCCAGCCTGAGCCGCTTGAGTGCCCTTCTCCACATCCATGCCAGTCTCTGCGTTCACGTCCAGATGATTCTCCGCAGGTTGAAGTATCTGCTTACGGCTACCGCGTGCACTCTTCCTGCCTATACCATCTACTTTGAGCACGGTGTCTTCAGTATCAATAATTTCGGTATCCATGGCTACATCGCTATTAGTATCCCTGACAACATCCCCATTCGGATCCACATCCTCGCCCGTGTCCTTCTGAACCGGTTTACTCCTTCCACGGGTACGCCTACTGCTAGTAGAATCAATATCCGCAGGTACATCTACGTCCATTTCTACATCCACACACTCGTTCAGGATAAGTTTGCTTTTCTCCCGCACACCCCTCTCGCCCTTTCTACCTGCCACCGATACGGTTTCTCCGGGGTCAGCCTTCACATGCTGCTTAGCAGCAATAGGGCTGGCCACTATTTGGACTGCATCCGTATCAGCCCCCGTATCTCCAACCACACCTTCATGCTGCAGCTGCTTGCTTTTCCCACGCACGCTGCGCTTACTCGTTCCGCTTACTACCACTACGGCGTCATGATTCTCCGGTTCCACAATAACAACAGAGGGGGCTCCATCCGCATCTGTCTCGGCAGCAGCGTTCATATCGACATATAATGTCGCACCTGACTCCTTGTGGGTTTGTTTGCCTCGTCCACGTGTGGTTTTTTTGCCTGTTAACCCAGTTTTCCGGGCCTTCTTCGCACCTCCACTTCGTTTGCCCTTGACGGTCTCTCTGGGGTCTGAGTTCTCGGCACCCTGTGCGGTAGTAGAGCTGCCTGCATTCGTATCCACATGCACGTCTGTGCCCACACTCTCTCCCGTGGCAGTCTGAATCTGCATCCTTCTACCACGAGCACTCTTCTTCTCCTCCTCTCCGGTTGTTTCAGCATCCTCAGCACCACCACCGCTGTCATGGACCCCAACGTCATGGGTGGTATCAGAGCTAGCTAGATCCCTTTCGACACACACATCTGAATCCACTTCCGAACACTCTCCGACGTGTTCGTGTGTTTGCTGGCTCTTCCGCCGTCCTCTCTTCCTGCCTTTACCACTTGCCTTTGGCCCATTCGTATCGTCCCTATTCTGCTTGACATCTGCATCTGCATCCTCAGCCACCTCAGCCACAGACTCACCCCCCTCCACGTCTGGGTGGATAATAGCACTCTTCCCACCCTCGTCCCCTACCTTCGCTACAGTCCCTCTAACATCCACACTCTGTTTCCTCTTACCTCGTGCACGCTTTTGCCCTCCGCCAGGTACACCTGGTTGTGTCTCCACAAGTGCAGTGACTGTATCTCCCTTGTCCTCTGCAGCTGCGTGCCCGTCCAAGCCCTCACCAGCAGTCACAGGTACTTCACCATCCACTTTATCTGTTCCCTTCTCAACGCCGATTGATTCATCGTCGCCTCTCTTCATGTCATCGCCTTGACTACCATCTACTGCGTGGGGTGTACCCTTACGGACATCGACCTTCTGGTAGTAACTCGTGATCGTCTCCGCCCCTCTCTTAAGGTTCTTCTTGGCGTGCTTGCCCTCCTTCGCTCTTTTCTTCCGCTTCGCTGCCGTCTGGCTTATTCCGTCATCTATTATTCCGTCATCCATTATTTTGTCATCCATCTGGTCACCCATTCCATCCGCCACTGTACCAACACCGTCTATTGCAGTACCGGCTGCCTCTGAATCTGCAGTCAGAGATGATGCCTCCGCCTCGACAACCTCCGTACTTCGGGCCAAATCTGTACTAGTAGTGTCACCTGCTTCCGAAAGGGTATCCTCCTGTACAGGTTCAGTAACCCAACTACTGGACGTCTTTCTGATGCTCCTAGTACCTCTGCGTGCGCCTGTGCATGCTTTGGTAAGCACAGTGGTGTGCGCCTGTGCATGTGCATGTGTTTGTGTTTGTACTTGTGTGAGTTCCTCATTCCCAGCTTTAACAGTCTCTAAAGGTAGGTCTGTGTTTGCAGATATGTCTGTCAAGGACGTGGATAGTGCCGATCCTACAACCTCAGCGCCCGCTCTTGCATCAGAAATATTTGCGATCTCTTTCTTCGTCTTTTCACTCTGTGTTGACAACACTTTATCTGCTCTGCTTGTCGACTGTAGTTTTGTGCCAACTCGCTTCTTCGTTTGGCTATCCACTATATGCTCAGAACGATTGGGTATGCTCACATTTGTCATGGGCAGCTCAACTTCTGCTACTACATGTTCTTGTCCTCGTTCTGTATCTGGATCAAAACTTTCTCCACGTGTGCGTATGCTCGCCTTTACCGCAGGCAGCCTAACCGTTGCCGGTGCATGGTATTGTTCTATTTCTGTATCTGAATTAAGATCATCATCATGTATACGGGTGCGTGTATGTGTGGTTGCTGTTGTGAGAGCCCTAGAAGCCTGTCCTATGTTCTTCTGTGTGTGTACATCGATACTTTTCCTTGGAAGTTCACCCTCCCCTACAACACCCACATCTACTGCGCCATCACTACTGGTTAGTGTACTCACACTTGTTCTAACGTCAGCACCCACTCCTTGTGTTGTCGTATCTGTAGATGTGCTCGCTATCGTGTGTGATTTAGTGTCTTTGAAAGTGGCACGTGCTGCGCTACCTTGAAACCCACCTGTTTGTGTGTGTTTTGGCTCGGGTTTCGGTGCTGTTTTCGAGGTCTTGCTAATCGGCTTCGACCGACCAACTTTGGGAATCATATTTACAGAATCACTGACTGTCTGTGGATCGCGGATGTGTATATGTGTATGTGTGCTGTATACTGAATCCGTTTGAAACGGAACACGAGCGTTTCTGGCTCTGATGTCACTTGATTTTGTTGACAATTCTAATATAATAGTGGTATATAACTACGTTATGTGCACACGCACACACGTGTTTGCAGCTCGATGTCGTCGCACTTCAACACTAGCACACTTCTGTACATTCTTCTCGAACATGACACGTAAGTCCATCTATACATGTACATACCAGTATACATATATACCGACGTAATACAAGTAGATGGCACCCCACTTACGTTTATCACCTAATACATCACTATGGGTATATATAAACAAGTATTTATATTTAGTACATAGACTAGTTGTTGCGGTATTGATTTAAAACACACAAGTATTTATGATATCAGCACGACAGCAAACGGTATTGAGATTTGCGACTAAGTCGGCCTTTCATCGCGCCAAAACTGACATCCCGGAATTCAGAATATTAGAACGGTATAATCTATGACAGGCCTTTATCCAAACCGCATTACGTTTACTCATGAGGTCTTACTACAAACCGCGTTACGTTGTTTTTTTAAAGTGTAAACGTCTCAGTCGAGACTGTCAGAAGGCGGCTCAGTGTCTATTTATAGTTTTGATATTCAAAAACGTTAGACTTAGAGTTGGGGGGTTAGAATTTAGATTATGATTATATGTTGAAACACCGAATATTCCTCGAGTCCTCGGTGCATTCTCAAATATTTACATGCCAAACCTTAGCCTTCTAAAAAAACCGTACATATGTACATATATATTTTCTTAAAAAAACAAATGAATCAAAACGTACAATACGTATTTAAACGGTGATGGTAAATTGTAAAATGCATTTTTTTTATTAAATCAACTATATTACATAGGCGTATGTTTTATTTGCGTACATATTTATGCCAAGCTCAACACGTTTTTCCTATATAAGATAAACTTTAAAACGTAAACGCAAAAGGGTTTGTTTTTTAAAAGCGTTTTAAAGTATATCGGGGGCAAATCGACCGTGCAATTTTCCAAATTTGCACCTGAAAAATTGACCTTTTGAATGAAAAGGTGATTTGAAACTATTCACAACCGACAATTAGGCCGCCTCAAAAAAATGTACCTATTTGGAAACGTATAGGACTATATTTAGGATAAACTTGCGTTTTAACGGGAAACGTAATGAGGTTGGTATTTATGTACAAAGCCTTTTTTTAATTTTTTAAATATGTTTTATATACTCTTTTGTTTAAAAACAGTATTGTATTTTATAAAAGTATATACATATTTAACTATGTAATTGTAGCCTTCTTATACCTTGAAACATCCAGCCTCTTTATATAAATAACCATAACTACATATCCTATTTTTATAATATTATAACCATAGCGGCATAGCCCACTTCTTTTATTTAACGGGCTTATGTTGTATGCTCTTTTGGGCAGGATAAAAAAACCGTCCCCGGTCCAGGACTCCAGGAGTCCTGGACTTATTTCGTTTTTTAGAAACAAAATTGTGCTGATCAGCTGATGCCTGATAAGTAAATACGTAGTTGATATGTACATTTTCGTTTTCTGTGTTCCTTGTGGCTGGTGCGTGCAATCTATAAATCTGTGTAGTGCTTTACTGTTCATAGACGTGTTAATGCTGCAACCTCTTGAGGTTACATGCACACACTCGTACGCTACTCTACTAGGGAAAAAGTTGAAGTAGTGTCCCGCCAGTGTTTGTAAGTTGGGCAGAAAGTCAGAGATTTTCTGGTTTCCCGCAGAGTGTTCGCGTGTGTAATAGTTTTACACGCTTCACATTAATGTTCACGTTCTGTTCAATTCCTGAACAAATTAAGTGCCGTACATATACTGTGGAGGATTGAGTCCTATTGTTATAGTCAAGTTATAATCAACATGGTATCAGCTACCAAGAAAAGCGCACTAGACACCGAGTCGAAGAAACGACCGGAAGGAGTGTATCCTACTAATAAGGAAATCCTCACCGAAGCACTTATTGCCTATATAAGAGGGCCTGCGATCGGAACGCTGGTTGTTCTGTTGGCATGGCCATTCTACAAGGTACGATTCTCAAGAGCTCTGTATATGCATTTGTATATATCACGGGAGTTTGTGTATGTAGTATGGGAGTTTGTGTATGTGCTATGTCGGTTTATGCATGTATTAAGGGAGTTCCTGTGTGTGCAAGAATATATGTACATCTCACTCTGGCGGGATAGAATATATTGATCTTTTTACTCGATATGATGCTCACCATCTGCATATTTGCTTTCATATGTAACATAGGTGTTTGCTTATTTTTTTATGTCTGTATGACCCACTTTGACCGGATGTGGGAGTCCGTGCATGTAAGTTTGCAAGTATGTCACACTCTGGTCGACTACGGTGGTTCATTGATGTATGTATATTTCACTTTGACCAACATGCGAGTACAAGTATTTAGTAAATGTGTATATCTTATTTTCGTCGAATATGCGAGTTCATGTATGCATGTATAACTCACTTGAGCAGATATGTGAGATTTTATATATATATATATATATATATATATATATGTGTGTGTGTGTGTGCATGCATATCCCGCATTGGACAATATGGGAGCTCGTGCATGTATGTATAGATCACTTGGGCAGATATATAAGATTGTGTATATAATTCTGTATACATATCTCGCTTTGGTCAATACGGGAGTTCATGCATGTGTGTGTAACTCACTTGGCCAGATATGTTAGATTGGGCCTATAGTTGTGTATACATATCTCGCTTTGGTCAATACGGGAGCTCAAGCATGTATGTGTAACTCACTTGGGCGGATGCATTTGTACATGCATATCTCACATTGGTCAATATGCGAGTCCGGATATGACTTATCGGTATAGCTGGCTTTAGTCCAAAAATAGCCTATCGCAAGTCAGGAGACCACGTGTTGGTTTGATAGATCGCCCCTGTTCGAAGTTTGGAATTGCAATACAACTTTTCGCCTGATATTGGTTACTATCGATCAGAAAAGTATATCTAGTGGGGTGGGGCAGGGGATGGGGGGGGGGGGGTCTGTGGGGGTCTTCTGTATCTGTAGTATGGCTTTAAACCTAGTGTATACGTGCAACGGTGGATAAATAGTTGAATGCCAGGATGTTTGTCGTTGCCTTTTGGGCATTGGTTTTCAGTTAATTTATTATTGAGGATATTATCTCGACCTATTTCTAGTCGATATACCGAAGACTGGCCGTATATCTTCTACGCGAATGTCTTGCTGCATATGCATCGAAGCATTGGTTCACGAGTGTGACACTCTCACATACGCACATTCATATATATTT